GCTCGTTCCGTTTTTTAAAGATGGGCACGACATTAGCCTTTTTCCAGTCATCCGGGACCTCCCTCGATCGCCATGAGTTTTCAAAAATAATGGCTAATGGCTCTGCAATCTCATCCGCCAACTCCTTTAGCACCCTTGTATGCAGCGCATCCGGCCCCATGGACTTGTGCATGTCCAGTTTTTCTAAATAGTCCCGAACCACTTCTTTCTCCACAGAGGGCTGGTCACCTTCTCCCCATATTGTGCTGCCCAGTGCAGCAGTCTGGGAGCTGACCTTGTTCGTGAAGACAGAGGCAACAAAAGCATTGAGTACATTAGCTTTTTCCACATCCTCAGTCACTAGGTTGCCTCCCTCATTCAGTAAGGGGCCCACACTTTTCTTGAGTTTCTTCTTGTTGCTAACATACCTGAAGAAACCCTTCTTGTTACTCTTAACATCTCTTGCTAGCTGCAACTCCAAGTGTGATTTGGCCTTCCTGATTTCACTCCTGCATGCCTGAGCAATAGTTTTATACTCCTCCCTGGTCATTTGTCCAATCTTCCACTTCTTTGATTTCAGGGGCTTGCATTTAACTAGAGCAAAGGGCTCTAGAAACACATGAAAAAGGCAGCTCACTCCTTTCTAGGAAACAGACCCTTGAATGACTACACTCAGGTTTTGGAAGGTAGAAAAACCCTTTGATTCACCTTTGAAGTCTGCCAGTACTTACTCAGACAAAACACCCACTAACTTCAGTAGTATTCAGCCTATGAAAGCACTGCAGACCCAAAGCTAACCAGCTTCCCATGCCTAACTCTTTCAATAGTGGGATTCGATGATTTTTTAAACTAACAATTTGTTAAGAAGATTTCACTCCCTTCCACTTGCTGGCCTGTACGTTCATTGCCTTTCCAGCAACTTCCTTTTATTAGCCCTGATTTCTGTTCACCTTCTATGCATTATTCTATCTCTCTACTGACAGGTTCTGTTAAGCATAAGCAGGTAACTGGCAGGCATAGTTATCAGTTATGTCGACACAGGTGTTTAAATTCCTGGTGCTACCTGTGCCATTGAAGGATGTGCATGATCTGCACACAACATTTCTAATGAATAAAAGGAAACCTGTGTGTATTTGTGCGGCTTGCCACGTGCAAAGCGAACCAGAACATGCATTAGATCAGGGCTTCTTATTCAGAGTAACAGGAAAATCCACTACTATATGGAAACAATTCTTAGCCCAAATAATTGAAAGATAACTGGGTTCAGTCAGTGGGACCCTTTCAGGTAGCTGACAAAAGAGAGATGTTTCCTGATGTATGAAAAGCGACTTTCTGACACCACTAAAGTAAACGGTATGGGACACTATTAGCAGACCACACACTACACTGAATCGAATTCTACTGCATGTATGAACTCAGGACTCTGTGACATGTGCCTTGCTGAGATAATGAAACAAAACTGAAACTGATTGAGTTACATCAACATATTGCTTCTGAACTCCAGCTACGCAGGCGACCTATTCAAGAAGGAGAAATGGATTAATGGGATTCAAGAGGTGAAATGTCCAAAAGAAATTTTTAACCCATTTAGATGTAGCTATTATTTCACAAGAGTTTTTAAAAGAA